CAAAAACCACAACTACCTACGTTTCAAGACTTTTTATAAATATCTCCCTTTATCTGCTCTGCATTCTAACTATACTGACATCTTTGCTGTTCCTTATAGATGGTAATCTATCTCCCATCTCCATGCCTGTGTGTGGGCCGTCCCCCATGGCTGGCATGCACTCACAGCTCACCCTCACCTCTGAGAATCTATAGCTTCCTTCAAGACTGGGCTGAGAGCTTTTCCATGATTCCCCCCCAACTGCTAGTGCTCTCTACCCCAGAAAGTAAAATTATTTTCTTTTTAAATTTTGAGTTCCAAATTCTCTTTCCTTTTCACCCCTCCTCCATCCACTGAGAAGGCAAACAATATACAAATTATACATGTGAAATCATGCAAACATTGCCATTCTAGCCACATAGCCATACTAGCCATGACGGGAGGAAGGAGGGAAGGAAGGAAGGAAGGAAGGAAGGAAGGAAGGAAGGAAGGAAGGAAGGAAGGAAGGAAGGAAGGAAGGAAGGAAGGAAGGAAGGAAGGAGGGAGGGAGGGAAGGAAGAGGGAAGGAAGGAAGGAAGGAGGGAAGGGAGGGAGGGAGGAAGGAAGAAGGAAGGAAGGAAGGAAGGAAGGAAGGAAGGAAGGAGGGAGGGAGGAGGGAAGGAAGGAAGGAAGGAAGGAAGGAAGGAAGGAAGGAAGGAAGGAAGGAAGGAAGGAAGGAAGGAAGGAAGGAAGGAAGGAAGGGACGGACTCTTAAAAATGATCTAATCCTGCCAGTAGGTAGAACCACACCTAAACTATCACAAGCAGATGAGGCTCTGCCAGAATCACAGAATCTTTAGAGTTCAAAGAGCTCTCAGAGACCATTGAGTCCCACATTTTCCTCCCCCAAAACCCCCTTCTTCCATAGACTCTTTTTATTCTTCATCATCCACTCCCTTTCTGGGTAACTTCCAGGCCTCCCTGTCAGGGAATTCTTCCTTATATCTGAACTAAAATTCTGTCTCTTCCTGCTTACAGAAATTCTGCTTTTCACATCTCTTAAGTACCTTTCTTTGCTGCTCTTCAGGCTGATGTAGCCAAAGATAAGAAGTTCCACAACTATCTTTGTGAACTAATAAATTGAAGGCAAGCTGCTTCTCTCATAATTTACAGTATCAATTGTTTTGGAGTTTAATACAATGAAATAACTGTTATTCCTATCCAGAGTAGCCTGGTGAGGCTCCAGTATAGCTACCATTGCTACACTAGCCCTCCTACCAACATCAGAGAAATTCCCTTTGCCATGAAAACAAAAATAAATTAGAAAAAAAGAATCGTAGACTTAGAGCTGGAAGGGACTGGAAAACCATCTCATCAACCCCTTCATTGTATAGATCTTATAGATCTAGAGCTGAAAGAGACCTCAGAGGGCATCTAGGTCCATCCCCTTGTTTTACAGATAAGGTAACTGAGGCCCAGGGAAGGTAGGAGACTTGTTCAAGATCACATGGTGTTGTACCACCCCATACCTGTCAGATTAGCTAATAAGACAGAAAAAGAAAATGACAAATGTTGGAAGGGGTGTGGGAAGATTGAGACACTGGAGTTGTGAACTGATTCAACCATTCTGTAAAGCAACTTGAACTATGCCAGAGGACTATAAAAACTTTTTGACCCAGCAATACCGCTACTAGGTCTGTATCCCAAAGAAATCAAAAACAAAAAGGGAAAGGATTTATATGTATAAAAATATTTATAGTAGTGGCAAAGAATTAGAAATTGAGAGGATGCCCATCAATTGGGGAATGGCTGAACAAATTGTAGTATATGATTGCGATGGAATGTTATTATGCTATAAGAAATTACCTACAGAATATTCTCAGAAAAACCTGGAAAGACTTACATGAACTGATGCAAAGTGAAATGAGCAGAATCAGGACAACAGTGTACACAGTAACAGCAGTATTTTAAAATCATCAACTGTAAATGACTTAGCTATTCTCAACAATACAGTGATCTAAGACAATTCCAAAGGACTTGTGATGGAAAATGCCATCCACATCCAGAGAGATAGTGGTGGAGTATGAATGCATATTGAAACACACTTTTTTTCAAACTCTCTTTATTTTTCTTGAGTTTTATTCTTTGGTCTGTGTTTTCTCTCACAATATGACTAATATGGAAATATGGTTTGCATGACTGTGCCTTTATAACCTACATCAAATTGCTTGCCTTCCCAATGAGGGGGGAAGAGGAAGGAGGGAGAGAATTTGAAACACAAATTTTTTTAAAAGAATGTTAAGAATTGTTTTTATGTGTAATTTGAAAAAATAAATAACTACAGTCCAAAACTCATTTAACTCTAATACTCTGCTTCTCGCTAATGCATTTTGAAATAGCGTATTAAATTTTATTAGAAGGTTTTTTTTTTATTGTGTTGAAACAGATTCACCTGAGGGGACAAATGTAGGCACTTCTCTAGAAAAGAAAAGCACCTGCCTTATGTGAACTTTACTTCCAAATTTTTTTCCTATAAATGTAGTATTCACTGAACACTTGGTAGAACATTGCTATGTATTCCATCTGTGCACAGCAACAACAGACTTCCACTCTAAAATATTAGACTTATTTCTTATCAATAAGAAAAAAGACAAATGCACATAAAAAAACAAGGAGGCAAAGATGGAGGGCAGTCCCCCCAAGGCCTCTAGCCTTTAACAAAGCAGAATCAAAATAATTAACAAATAACAAATGTGCAATTTTTGTTTGTTTTACCTCCCCTCCAGGCCTTTTAAAGGTCTTTGATCTTGTGTTTCTTCCTACTTAAAAAAAAAAGTTCTTTGTTTTAATTTGTCATCATAATCTGTGTATAATACCATTCTGGTTCTGCTGCTTTTACTCTGAACCAACCCTGATTTCTCTTTTCACACTTCCTTGTATGTGTTAAATTTATTAATTTTTTCACCTAATATTCTATTACATTTAATAAATTACAATTTATTCATCCATTCTCAAGTTCTTCAGCATAGAGATTTTTTCCAATTTTTTTTTACTATTATAAATAGAGAAACTATGAATATTTTTGTGTAAATAGGCTTTATTTTCCCTTTTTTATGATGTGGGTATAGAATCCTAGCAACAAAAACTCTGATCCAGTGATATGATCAATTTTTCAACTCATTTCATATTGCAAATTGCTTTTGAAATCTTTTGTACTAGTCTCACCAGTAATATATTAAAGTAACTTTTCCCTCAGTGCTTTGTCACTGTTGGACTGTATCATTTTTGATCTTTCATTAGGTTTACATTTTAATGAAGTTTAAATAAAAAATTCATTTTTGCCTTTAATTCTGGTTTCTCTTCCTGAACACTGCCCACATGGGCAGTCTCTAACCTCCTTACCTTCACATGACTCAGAGGTCAACTTGGAGAATGACCATTTATCAGTAGTAGCTAAATCTCTTCTACCCTCTATTATTTTTCTCACTCCTCTTGCCACACATAGAGTACACAAGCTGCTAAAAATGAAAAGCCTTAGTAATTTAAGGGAAAGGATGGCCTTGTAAACTGATCATGAAGGGAGACCTTTTTTTTTAGTTGTCCATTTATATTTTTGTTTTGTTTTGTTTTATTTGGTGAGTCAATTAGGGTTAAGTAACTTGCCCAGGGTCACACAGCTAGTAGGTGTCATGTGTCTGAGGCCAGATTTGAACTCAGGTCCTCCTGACTCCAAGGCCAGAGCTTTATCCACTGCACCACCTCACTGCCCCAAATGAAGGGAGACTCTTTCCTTACATTGCAACACCAAACCCAAACCCCATCAGAAGAAAGCCTGGGATTTCCAATCTGGACATAAGTACACAAAGATATCTATGCCAGAAGGCATAATGGAAGAGTATATCAGAGCAATCTCCTTCCCTACTGCAAGTAAGGGTAGAGTGAAAATAAGGACATTTCCATTCTTCATGTTTCATATTCTTTAAGATAAGATTTGGAGGAGGAGATGGGAAGGGGGGAGAGGATAGGGATATGCCTCCTGCACTTAGATACTTAATGTGCTGTCACATAGAAGAACAATGACATTTTTGTCTTAACTCCATGTGGAAGAGCTAAGACAGATGAGTGAAAATAACGGTGGAAGATTTCACGTAATTTAAGGAAGAATTTTATAAAAATTAGAGCTGTCCATCAGTGAAATGAGCTGCCTCAGGAAATAGTGAGCTACTCATCACTGGACGTATTCAAGCAGAAACTAGAAAACCTTCTGTCATGGTTGATATAGAAATTCTCACACTGGGTGGAAGGTTGGGTGACCTCCAACAGTTTTTCCAATGCATAAAATTCTGTGAATTTTAATTTGGGTGTTTCAGTGATGAATCATTGCATATATGACAATGAGAAGTTTTGTTCTAAGTTCTTTTGGAATGTGAGCTTTTCATTCAAACACCAAAAACCTCAATCTGCTTCTTTTTTAAATCAATAATTCTCAGGTATAAGTCAAACATATTTCTTTCTGCCCTTCCCCTACCCCTTCCCCTCCACACTTCTTCTGTAGCATAAAAACAATTCATAAGTCTTTGGGGATAATGATCTGACTGTCAAATGTTATCTCATCTGTAAACAAACGTCTTAGAGAAAATACCATTCCTACCAATGAACCATGTGTTATGTTTTATAGGAGTTTTAATCTGTGGCCATTGCCAGGCTTGTCATGCCCGCAACCTGACCCTCCATCCAGATGGAGGATTTTGAAGGAATAAAGAAACTTTCTGTGTTTATTTTATTTAAATTGTATAGACATTATTTAGTAAACTATATGGTGCAAAAAAGAAAGCCATGAAGAATTTTTTTATTATTTGAAGAAAACAAATCATATTAATACGTGTTCATTGTTGAGTATATTTGTGCTCTAGGAATTTAGGATCAGAGCTGTTGTATAATTAGAGTCTTAGACACTAAAATAGATTCTTTCACCTTCCTATGTGAACACTGGTTTTATAGCAAATAAATCTCACAAGTGTTTTCTTTATTTTTTTAACCAGCCCAATGCAGACTGCATAGATGACATCCCACCGGACTTTGAAGGTTCCATAGGAGGGCCACCAACCAATCAGATTACAGGTGCAAGTGACACAACCGTAAATGAAAGTTCTGTTACTTTGGATCCTGCCGTCCGACCTGTGGGAGAATTACAAGTAGTCCAAGATGCAGACGCCACTCCCCAGGAGGGGGAGGTTAATTTTACAATCAACAGTAAGTCTCTTCTCCATATGCAAGCTCTCACACACAACATTGACAAAGCCTTCTGAGTGCTCATTTCCCACTATGTAGGTATCACCTCTTGTGGGGGGACCATTAAAGAAATATAGCGTGAATTGGTGATGATGACCATAAAAATGTAGAAGCGTATTGCTATTCTGAAGACAAAGCCTGAGGTCTAGAGACCTGAAGTTCCAATTTATATCATGGTCTTGAGTCACCAAGAAAACTCAAGCATTTGAGATAGGGTTTCACAGGTAAAAGTACAATGAGAATTACTTGGATTATAGAGCTAGAAGGATCTGCAGAAGCCATTTATTCCAACCATTGATTTTACAGATGAGGAAACTGAGGGTCAGAGAAATTTAGAAACTTGCCGAAGGTCACAAAAGTACTAGGTTCCATAATCACCATCTAAACCCAGGTCCTCTGACTTCAAAGCCAACATTTTTTCTCCTGTATCCCAATGCCTTCCTTAACCAAGGAGAGGAATAGGCCCTCATCAGATCTTAGACAAGCTCACAGGGAAAGGTCAATTAGCTTTATGCCCAAGGCTCAAAAATGAGTAAGAATTTTAACATTGAAAACGTGGCCCAATGTCCTTTAGTTAAATATACTCCTCAGCTTACATTTCCATTCAAAACTACATCATCACATGACAGTCATACGTATATATGTATATATACACATACATATGTTACTTCTTTTCTTAAATATATATCTAAATGTATATATTTTTTATATTTATGTTACTTGTATTATATATGTATAGTAAGTATTCCATATGTTTACATGTATGTTTTACATGTGTACATATATATGTACACATACATATATAGTGCTTAGATTATATATATTCTCAGTACTAGAGAATAATATATGTATATGTATGGATATGTGTAGATATGTTTATGCATGCATGCATATATGCATGTACAGGTCAGTCCTAATTTAAGCAAATAATCAATCCCAGGAAGCAGTCACATGTATTTGTATTCATACTGTTCAAAATTATAATTACATAAAATATAGTAATTAGTTTCAGCCCAGTGGAACTGTGCAGTGGAAATTCAAATGCTACATTAGAATTCACTGGAATCAGGACTTAGCTGTGTGTGTGTGTGTGTGTGTGTGTGTGTGTGTGTGTGTGTGTGTGTGTGTTTTCAAAACTGTACAAGGGCAGTTTGTGTGTGTGTGTGTGTGTGTGTGTCATTTTGCCATAAATGAGAAAAGAAAAACCTGGACAACATCAAGGCATAATGTGGATAAAGATAGGCAGAGAGCAGAATAAGGCAATATCTATTGACTACAGACATTTGGGGCCAATATTATGTATATAGGGATATGGCTGTTAGATTCTTAATATAGATGTCTCTTTTTCCTACAGATTCTCTTCTTTGACCACTGTTTCTGTCTGGTCTGTTTTGATTTATTGAACGATCAAAGTAAATTCTAAATAGAATATTCCCAATTGATGGTGAATGGATTATAAACTCCTAGAGGGCAGAAATCATACCTTAGATATTTCTGCCTTCTCTAAAGTACCTACCTAGTTCCTTGCACATGGTAGCCAATTAACAAATGCTTGTTTTTGAAGAAATATTTCAACATTATCAATATTATCAACCTTATTTTAACAATCATTCTACTGCCCTCTTTAAAAATATATGTAGTGAAATCAATGGAGGTGCTTGGCCAATTGAATACTCTGTTGCAAAACATGTGGCTATTGATCACAATTCCTAGTGTAGACTCAATCCCATTCTTTCTTGATGTGGTTACTCAGCTTACTTCTCTATTGAACCAGGGAGAATAGGAGAGGGGAAAGTATGTGTGTGTGTGTGTGTGTGTGTGTGTGTGTGTGTGTGTGTGTGTGTGTTTGTGTGTGTGTGTGTGAGAGAGAGAGACAGACAGACAAAGACAGAGAGAGAGAGAAAAACAGAGGAAGAGAGAAGAGAGGAAAAGCAGAGAGAGAGGGGACAGGAGAGGGAGACAGAGAGAGAATAAACATAGAGACAGAGCACATGTAATTGCCTGCCCAGTTCACGTTCAAATTAAGAGTTTTTTCTCAAGCTCTGAGAGGAACAGAACTTTTTTTTCAAGTTCTACGTACCATACTCAGGGCCATAACTATCATGAGGCATACAGTGCTTTGTCCCAGGATGCTGGCATATGGGGGAAGGCTTCCTCCCGGAAATGATAGGTGCTACCACCTCTGGCTACTAATCCTAAGGTTTTATTACTCTGGCGACTCTCTCTCTAGCCGCACCTTTCTCCCCCAACCCTCATGAGGCAAAGGATTCAGACTCTCCAGAAAGCAGGACGCCTCCTCCAGAAGTGACTGTACTCCCAGAGGGTCTGTCTTCTGCGCTACTGACCGCATCCCCTCCATTTCATTTGCCTCAGGAACTGCTTCAGCTCCAGCTCTTAGCTGTACTCCTAACTCCTTCCTTTCTTAGTCATCAGCATGGCCATGCAGTATATCACATTTATATGAAAGTCACCCAAACACTTAAAGGTAGGATGCTTCTGAAACAGAATGCCTTTGGAGTATAACTAGAAAGGTCTTGCTTTAAACTGCTTTCTTTCAGCTCCCCGAAAGAAACAGTAAAAGGATAAAAGAAAGGTAAACTTCTTGCAAGCTTGACATTTGGGTAAAAGGCTTTTTTTCCTTTCATATATATCTTTTATGTTCCTGACATTACATCTTATATAACCTCCAAGTTCCTTCAGTTTTCCCAGATCAGCTCTGGTTTATTTGTATGACAATCCACCTGGTATTCATTGATTTTTATCTGTGGACCTGAACCTACCCTGCCTTCTAACTCATTGAGCCCCGAGGGCCAAAGATAGTGATAATAATATCTGATATTTGCATAGTGTTAGGAGGTTTGCAGAGCAGTCATACTGTCCACAAGCATTCATTAAGTGCCTGTTGTGCGCCAAACACTATCTCTAATGCTGGGAATTCCAAGAAAGGCAAAAGACCTTTTGCTAGAGATACTATCAGAAGAATATAACATACAGCTATTGTCTTCTTAATATAACAGTCTCTATTAACTACAGAGTCTCTCCTTTGGACATTTGTTTTTGTCTGATCTGTTCTGCTTTACTGGGAGATCAAAAAAACTTCCAAACAGGCTATTCCCAAGTAATTGAATGGGTTCTGTCTTTTCACTCTTTGGTTCTGTCAATTCAACCACTTCCCAAAACATCTAATTGTACTATCACTTCACCCATGCTCCTCCATTTTTCCACGTGACTGGCATGAGATACCTTATCAAATATTTTGCTAAAATCTAGGTAAACTCTAGGGATAGGGACTAGAAGTGTGATTTCACTGATATAAGGAACTCAGAGATGAGGAAAGTCACTTTCCCAGTGCAGATCAGAAGTTTCTCTTCCTCTTATTTTCTTAAAGAACTGTTTAAAGTCCTGAAAGAGGATAAGTGACTTGCCTAAGATCTCACAGATAATATTTTTCAGAGCTAGGACCAGATTTTCAGGTCATGCTGGCTCTGAGGCCAACATATAATGCTACCCTTCAGGAAAACTCTGTCTATAGCATTTCCCTTTTCTACTAGTTTAATACCCCATCGAAGAAGGAAGGAAGATTAATCTAGAATAGTTTATTCTTATTAAAGTCATGCTGCCCCTTTGTGATCACAACATGTCTTTAATAATGTGTCACAAAAATTAAAGAAATCAAAGTCAAATACACTGACCTATAATTTTCTGATTCTATTACGTCTTTTGAAAAATCAAACATTTGTCCTTCTGACATATGGTATCTTTCTCATTCTCTATGACATTTAAGAGATCACTGACAGTGACTCAGCAATCACATCTGTCAATTCTTTCGAAATTCAGGGATATGTTCATCTGGGTCAGGTGACTTGAACTCATCAAGCTCTCTGATTGTACCCTTATTTATCTTCTACATGTGTTATCACTGAAAAGAGTTTGACCAGACCATCCACACAAGAAATACCAAAGGAATGAAGGATGTATATTTTCCAGGTCTCAACATGCATTTGGGTAGACACACTATAGAATCTGTCCAACAGTATGTGTATATGGGACAAACAGATGCAGTGAACAGCAAGCTGGACCCAAAGTTGAAAAGGAGTTGGAGAGCAGGCTGGACTTCTATAAAACTCTTTTACTGACCTGAAGCTTCCTATAAAAGGTCCATCTTTTCAATAATAACATTTTACCTGTATTACTATATGGTAGTGAGATGTACAATACCACCATCTCTGAAGGAAAGCATCACCCACAGGCCAATGAAAAGACACATGGTAGATGTATACTGGCCAGAACATTTAGCCAGTGGGCAATTCTGAAGAGCAAGAGTAAAGGATATCATCAAGGAATTGTTGGGAAGAGAGAATGGGGTGGTCATATGGCAAGAGTAAGAAATGACAAGCAGATGGTCAGAGGGCTCCACTGGTACATTCATGATATCTGGAGAAAATCAAGACATCCTCCAGGATCTTGGATAGACCCTCTTTTGTGAAAAAAAAAATGGACAAAAACAAATAGAATGGGCACACATGGATGGATTGCCATCTGTATTTTTTGGAAGCAACAGATCAATGAGATCACTGAACCATTTGGATATCAACTCCTTATTGGCCAGTTTTGACCTGTCCTTCCCAGTCCAAAGGTCATTCTCTGTGGCAAAATTGAGCCACTCTGCCTTCTCAGTGTTGTCTGTTACCATTGTCCTGTCCATCTCAAGTCATGATCCTTTCCCTTCTTTGATTCTCACCTTTTCTCTGATACATCTTTAAAATAAAAAGCCTTTTCCTAACTTTCCTTGCCAGTCTTGACTTATTTTGAGCTCTATTCTTCCTAATACCATTCTTACTTTTTGTATTATCCACCCTCTGTTCCCTGGTCTTGCTTGCATCTTGTATACATGTCTTTTAAAAAATAAGTTGGTTGGCAAGTTCTCTGCAGTTAAGTGATTTACCCTTAGTCACACAGTG